TAAAATAGACTTCTAAAGTGCATGGGGCCATTTTGTGACAACTATTTTTTTTTTTAGAATTTTTCACCCTGGAGGCTTCAAGACAATTCTAGAGAATTGTAGCTACTGATGATTTGTATGATTCTTTTGTAGAAACTAATAAACTATGTTTCCAGGATGACAAATTTTAGTTGTTTTTTTTAATAGCTTCTTTTTCCTAGCTACAAACTTGTGTAACATGATACTTTACTGAATACTGTGGGCAATTATAATATAGTGGTAAGAATTCGTGTGTCTAAACATAGAAAAGGTACAGTAAAAATACAGTATAAAAGATTTAAAATGTTTGCTTACCCTGAACAGAGCCGGCAGGTCTGGAAGTTGCTCTAGGTGAGTCAGTGAGTGGATGGTGAGTAAATGTGAAGGCCTAGAACATTACTGTAGACTTTAGAAACACTGTACACTTCGGCTACACTAAATTCTTTTTAAAAAATGTTTTCTCCTTAATAATAAGTTAGCCTTCAGTTACTCTACCTTTTTTACTTCATAAACTTTTCAATTTTTTAACTTTTTGATGCTTTTGTAATAACACTTAGATTAAAACAGCTATTGTGCAGCTATACAAAAATATTTTTTCTTTATATTCTTATAATGGTTTTAATTTTCTGAGTTAAAAATATGATTATCTGACTATCCATGATGTCTTTGTGGCTATTTTTAGAAGCAGCTAGAGTTATGGATATGTGGGGAGTGAATTTTCCTTCTTTGCTGAAGAAACCAGCTGTATTGGAGCTCCATGATGGATTAGTATCATAATTCATGTGTGCTCAGTGCTGAGGCCTACTGAGACCTCAGAAACAAAGACTCACAAGTATGAGGAAGTTAAGTCGGTCTACATGGGACACAGCTTACTTCCTAAGGGAGTAACAGAAGAGTATAATCAAATCATTTTGATTTTGATACCAAAGAATGTCTAATTTGGTAGTCAGAGCCTGGAAGCCCCATCAGGTGGTAGGAAATGTTTGAAGTTCAGATAGGTGGTGTGGTCTAGGTAGGTTATGGAAACACCTTAGTTACTCTCAAAGACTATTTAGTGAAGGATCTAGCTCTTAAAAGAAGGGAATTATCAAAAACAGTTCAGGGCATAAGGGCCCTAACAGATGGCTGAGGTTAGGGAAGAGCTAAAATATCAGACGTAAATGTTCAGACTGGGGAAACTGAGGCTGATGCTCACAGCCAGCTATCCCACCGATTTGACAAGAGTGTGTGTGCATGCCCATGTGCAGAGGAAAATGGCAGAGGAGGTGATGGGGAAGGAGGAGATGAGTAGTGAAGCAAGCTGTGATTTGGAAGTTTACCTTAGGCACATGAGACTCTAAACCTATGGTAGTGAGACAGCCTCGAAACCCTTACTAATTAGTGCAAAGCTGTTGGTTTACTTCTTGCCACAACCACTATTAATTCAGGAACCAACAAAGCAAGTTACAGTGGTGGCATACATGGACCTAGTAAGGGAGGCTAGGCAGGCAGGGACTGACAGATGGGCAACAGAGGGAGTGGAAGGCACTGCGTTTTTGAAACTGAAATAATAAAATTAATTTCTATGTCCTCTATGAATGAGACATTAGCAGTCACTTTTGGGCCAATTTATGTTTGCCATCACAGTTTAATCATGGCAGTTGCGGCCAATTTAATTAGTAAGTTTTTGGGAGTAATTTAAATTTCACTGAATGAAAGATCATTCTAAGGGGAAAAGAGGTATCCTCTTTAAATAACAGTCACAGCTTTGCAAAAGCAAATCAGTTAGTAAACATTCAACAACAGAGAAATTGTTGTTCCATATTTTTAAGTGACAATTTAATTAGGTATTTAAAATGGAAAAATAGAAACACTGTTTGCTCTCAAGAATGGTGATGAATGTCAGGCTTACATTTTGGCACTATCTTTTATTCCTCCTTCTCAGTAGTTCTTTAGTTCCAATTTTTGTTATTAAATTTGATCTTTCTTCCCTATTGTTTTTTCTTTAGTTTTCCCACCGCCATCCCACACCCTATTTCCATGGTTGGCATTTCATTCAAAACTCTCATCACCTGGTTTCCCTTTTTTTTTTTTTGAAATCATTTCTTTCTTCTACCAATTTGTCCTACATAAAGCTCTCAATTTAAGCTTCAAGAAGAACTGTTTTGATTTTGGTATTCCTTTATTTTAAAAACACTCAGACAGAAACAGGAGGGTTCCCTGACTCCCTTTGCAGGATGTGCAACAGGGGTGTGGCTTGTCTATTTGGCAGCTGTGTATCATACCACTTACATGGCGGGGATCACCCAGAGGGGCAGGTGCAGGAGCCAGGGTGAGTGCTTTTGGGTTCTGGCCCCATGGTAGCATCTACAGGTGGATGCCTGTGACTCCCAAAGCCCTAGTGGGAGCTAAAAGTGCTCTTTTAGCTCTGCTGTCACAGACAGCTTAAGGTTTAACTAGCTTAGTGCCCTCTTGGTACCTGGGTTCTTGTCTGGTGTCCTGAAAGAATCAGATCATGTGAACAAATTGAAGGATGGTAAATGCAGGGGATTTTATTGGATGGTGGAGGTGGCTCTCAGTGGGAGGGATGGAGAGCTGGAAAGAGGATGAAATGGGAAGATGATCTTCCCCTGGAGGTCAGTCATCCCATGGACCTCCAACTGACCCTCTCCAATTGTCCTCAACTGAACTTTTCTTGATGTTCAGATGCTCCTTTTCTTTTCTCCTTCTCTGCTGTGCCATGCTACCACTCTGCTGCTCTACTGTTCCTCTTTTCTTCTGCTTGTCTGCTTGTGGAGCTTGGGTTTTGGGGTTTATATGGGTACAGAATAGGGGACATGAAAGGCCAAAAGGCAATATTTGAGCATGAAAATAGAAATGTCTGTTCCCATTTTGGTCTGTGGGTTTCCAGGCTGGAGGATGAAACCTTTGCCGGGGAAGTCTCCTCTTCTACCCAGTATTTTGCCACTTCCTGTCCATATCAACACCTTTCTGTAATGAGTCCCACATTGCTTAGGCTCATATTTAAGGCCCTCCACAAGTCTGTCCTTTGCCTGTCTCTTTCTGTCTGAGTTGTCTTTCTTGTATTTGAGTCCTTTGTTCAAGATTTACTCACTGTCTCCTGAAGATGTATATTAATCTTGTCATTTTCTCTGTGATTTTGTCCACACCAGTCAGCCTACCTAGAAACCCATTCTTTATTCTTCTTGTTAATTTATGTACATTTAAAGGGATGTCCTAGTTTAATCTCAGGACAAAGACTCTTAAAATTCAGACAGAAATTGGCTGTTTGTTATGGACTGAGTTGTGTCCCCTAAAAATTCATATGTTGAAATTCTCACCCCCACAACTTCAGAATGTGACTGTATTTGGAGATAGTGTCTTTAAAGAGGTGATTAAGCTAAAATGAGGTCATTAGGATAGGCCCTAATCCAATATGACTGGTGTCCTTATATGAAGAGGAGATGGATACAGGTGCAGCGGGAAGATGATGTGAAGATACAGGGAGACGACACCATCTACAAATCAAAAAGAGAGTCCCTAGAAGAAAGCAACTCTGCTAACACCTTGGTCTCAGATTCTTCATTTTCAGACTGTGAGAAATAAATTTCTGTTGTGTAAGCCACCCAGTCTGTAGTAGCAGCCATAATAAATGAATCTACTATCCCTTTAGAAAGGCAGTGAGTTACTCAGAACTCCAGGGTACACACCCCTGCCACTCCTTCAGCCCTCGTGCACAGGAGGAGCGAGGTCTTCATCTCTGCTTCCATGCTCAGAGCCTCTCACTAAAACTGAGTGACACCCTGAGTGTCACTTGTCACTGTGTCTACTTGTCACACTTACCATCTCTCCTGATCCCTTTTTTCCATTGACTCTATGATGAATCTTAAACAAAACAAAAACCAAAAACAAACTTTTCTTTCTCGAACTTCCAAAGCCCAGTTCAAGGTACCCCATGGCCAGTCTGTTTTTGTGTGTATTGGTAACATGTATCATTTACAGGGATTAGCTCCCCTTCTGCACATTCGCACAATTCCCTGTGAATATCTCTACCATACAACACCTTACACCAGGATCCAAGTAAAGCAGGGAAGCGAGGAGCAGCCTCGGATTTTACCCTGCTTTTGTTATTGAGGCAAATTCAGTGCATCCCTTAAACTGATCCAACTTCACATTACATTAATGATAAACAGATAATTTACTGTAAATTTGGTAGGGAGTGTGAGTGGGGCCAAACCTGCAGTGTTCCCCATTCTGCATCTCTTCCTCTTTTCTGTTAGGGAACTGATGGCTCTTTACAAATCTCCTCTACTGAACACAGCAGTGAAACTCATTTCTAAGGTGCAGGTTCCAGTTAAAAATAAAAGAATGGCAACATAAAACTTTGAAGTGCTAGTTACTCTTATGTTCACCAAAATGTCATGCTGGGTTATATATAATATAATGAGGAGTACCTTAGCTTCAAATAATATGGGGCTCCATAGATATCAGGATAATATTTGGATAAACATAAAAAAAACTCATGATTTTCATCTGTATTAGTTTTAAGTATGTAGCTAGACTGTCTTCTGCTATATTAAATTGATAGTAGGTTATTTTAGGTGATCCTAAAATATGTATAACCCAAGTTATAGCTATGTTCAATTCCAGTGGGATTTTTTTAAGGGAAGACAGAGAATATTGAATATTTCCTTTTTTTTGAGACGGAATTTCACTCTTGTTACCCAGGCTGGAGTGCAATGGTGCGATCTTGGCTCACTGCAACCTCCGCCTCCTGGGTTCAGGCAATTCTCCTGCCTCAGCCTCAGCCTCAGCCTCCCGAGTAGCTGGGATTACATCCTTTTTTTTTTTTTTTTTTTTAGCTTTGAAAGTCAACACCTGTATAAAACCACACAAAGATAGTGAATTGTCAGGGTAAATAAACAAGATACTGGTTCTACCTGTATGTGTGTGTTCCCTAAATATTTCTGTGACATTTTCAAACTTAAAAAATTTATTGTTAATTCGTGTTAATCCTTCATTACAAAAAGCACACTGCCTGAAAGAATTTTCTTCGATTGTAGATGGATCACGAAGTGTTCTTTTCCATGCTCGACATAGAACAGGAGAACGGGTCCTTCTGATCTGAAAGATTGTGAGCTGCCATACATATTGTGCCTAGGTAGGAGAAAGGAAAATAAATCCCATAATTAAATTATTACAACACAAATGGTCTTCGTTCTTCTATCTACAGTAAGTGTAATTACTCAGCATAGCAATGTCAAGAGACACTTACCACATGGGGCAGGGAACTGCTTAGCAACGTATTCATGAGTAATCAATTTTTTTTTTTTTGGTTTGTGCTTAAAAAAAAACGCAAAAGGATGCCAGGCTGCAGAAAATAGCTGTGAGAGCAGTTTGAAAGCTGTTTATGAATTCCATATTTTGTTTAGGGTGGTTAGCTTCTGTAGAATTCAAAATGACTGAAAAGAGACAGCCATGGAGTCACCTAACCTAAGTCATTGTTACCCACAGCACCACTTTTCCCATTTGGGTGATGAATGTTTCAAGAGGCCCCCCGCCTTTTTTTTTTAAGGAGACTAAGTAATAGTTTAAAAACTATTACCTCTCAGAAGTTTCCAGCTCTTTGTAACTTGATTTCAAAAGCTTCATTAGATGCCTTTATGATTCCTGGAAAATTATCTCCAGCCTCAGGGCTCCCTTTCACTTCAGGCCATGTTTAAACCATAATTATTTAGCTATTTTCTCTGAGGTTTTGCCTTCAAACAATTCTCTTCCTCCCCTAGCTTATTTCTTGTAATTTCTTGAATTCCTATGTACAATTAATATGGATTCTGCAATGTAAAAATGTCATAAACTATGTATTTCATTGATGATCCAGAATAACATCAGTTAAAACATATTGGGGAGACACATATTTGGGGGGCAACCTGGGGCAGCTAGTTGGTTGATGGTCCATCATGCAAAAACTTTATAGTAATCCAGTCACTCTGCTCTAAGGACAAGGTCTTAGTATATGAGCAGGAAAGAGCTGACACAGAGACACCCTGCCAAAATATAGCTGTAAAATGACCTTTGCTGGGATCTCTGTCTGAGCCATGTATTTGTAGGTCTTGGAGTGCTCATGGCGACAGTGGTGTGCCTGTCACATTCTTGGACATACGACAGGTCTGTTGGTCATTTTAGTATCTCTTTGCAACATTATGTTTCTGTTTCTGATTCAGGATTTGCTTCTTGAATGCAATACTGGTCCAGTCATGTCTTAGTAACAGCGAGAGGGGTTGATAGGTGTGTTGACAAGGGCAAGTAACCTAAGTTCTTCAAGCCTCAGTTTTGTTGCCTGTATAATGGGCATTATGATGCCCATATCACTATCATTTTGCATCAACCAGAAGTCAGTCAATCTCTATCATCCTCAACTCCTTTTCTCCCCCTCTCTTTGTAATAATTCTCCTTAGTCTATGGGCAGTGCTTTATATATGCATTATTTGAAGTCAGGAGAAAAGATTATTTTCCAAACCGTCTGAAGCTATTGTTATTTCTAGGGTGTGTGGGGGCTCTAAAACTGATTTGAGTCACCCCAAATCAATGTGTCAAGCATTATTCTAGGGGCTCAATCTCAATCCTACAAAAGAAATACCTGGCCAGTCAGCCACAGATCTGTTTCTCAGTCCCTCTTCCCTTCAAATGGGACTGTTCAACATATCCCAGAATGACCCCAAAGGCACAAGTCCAGGGGCTTTTCAGGGTCTGTGGTTATCCTTCCATGAAGGGGAGAAGACTAGAGAGTGTCCTGATGGAAATAAATAATTGGGGCTTGTAGTATCCTGCCCAATGGGTCTGTCTACCTACTCCAGACACTGAGGATTGACTTCAAAAATTTTAAGAGACCTGGAACTGTGGCTTATGCCTGTAATCCCAGCATTTTGGGAGGCTGAGGTGGGTGGATCACTTGAGGTCAGGAGTTCTAGAGCAGCCTGGCCATTATGATGTAACGCTGTCTCTACTAAAATCCAAAAAATTAGCTGTGTGTGGTGGTGGGCACTTGTAATCCCATTTGGGAGGCTGAGACAAGAGGATTGTTTGAACCTGGGAGGTGGAGGTTGCAGTAGCTGAGCTCGCGCTACTGTACTCCAGCTTGGGTGACAAAATGAGACTCTGTCTCAAAAAAATTTAAGAAAATCACTCCAAATTGTGGGAATTTCTAATTTATGAGCCCTGGTGAAGGAGCCCCTTCTGCCATAGCTGTTGGGCAATTCTATACCGTCTGAATCTATGGCAATTTTTAAATTTAAAAATTCTAGCTGTCTCCTTCAGGAATTCAAAAACCTCCCTGCCTAGGACTGTGCACTTTAAGACTGAACTCTCTCTATTCATTATACACCCTATGTAAGTTACATGACAGGTGCTAGGAAATGATCCAAACCTGTACAAATTCATGAAATCCCAGAAAGAAGTAAGTCGAATTTCATCATAACCGACATGAGACTCAAACAAAGCCTCTCTCTGTCCTATAGTGTTTTCCAGCTTAGGAAATATATGAGTTTAACAATAGAAGTTCTTGGATTTGTCATGTCTTGTCCTCCATGACTTACACTGTCAACAAGAGGGGTCATTTCTATAGGTACCTAAAGCATCAGGCTATTTACAACATTAACATCTGTGCTGGCACCATCTGTTGGTTGATTTTCACTCACAGAATGACCTCTTTTTTCTCTCTCTCTCCTAATCATTTACTTTTCTAAAATTATCACCCCAAAATTGTTTTAAAAAACAATAATATGGATTGATTAGGTATTTTCCTGTTATTCTCTTACCTCTCTCTTTAGGAACTTACCTTTTTTCTCATTTTGCTTTCTATCTTTTTCTCTTCCTTATTCTCAGTGAAACTGGCCATCCATTTTTCTTTGTCATTTATCTCTCAATCAGTTATCTGTCTTTAAATACTTTAAACAGATTTAAGGGTCATAAATTCTGTAACAATATGGATATAGCATGCAGTAGTGAAGTCTGGGATTTTAGTGTAACTATTACCCAATGATGTACGTTATATCATTAAGTAATTTCTTCTTTTTTTGTTGTTGTTTAAAACTTTTTCAGATTGACTTTATTTCAGTAATCCCTTAATATTACTATTTATTTGTTTTATTGCATTTTAGGTTTTGGGGTACATGTGAAGAACATGCAAGATAGTTGCATAGGTACACACATGGCAGCATGATTTGCTGCCTTCCTCCCCATCACCTATATCTGGCATTTCTCCCTGTGCTATCTCTTCCCAACTCCCCACCCCCCACTGTCCCTCCCCTACTTCCCCCCAACAGACCCCAGTGTGTGATGCTCCCTTCCCTGTGTCCATGTGTTCTCATTGTTCAACATCCACCTATGAGTGCGAACATGCGGTGCTTGATTTTCTGTTCTCGTGTCAGTTTGCTGAGAATGATGCTTTTCAGGTTCATCCATGTTCCTACAAAGGACACAAACTCATCGTTTTTGATGGCTGCATAGTCTTCCATGGTGTATATGTGCCACATTTTCCCTGTCCAGTCTATCATCGATGGGCATTTGGGTTGGTTCCAGGTCTTTGCTATTATAAACAGTGCTGCAGTGAACATTCGGGTGCATGTGTCCTTATAGTAGAATGATTTATAATCCTTTGGATATATACCCAGTAATGGAATTGCTGGGTCAAATGGAATTTCTATTTCTAGGTCCTTGAGGAATCGCCACACTGTCTTCCACAATGGTTGAAATAATTTACACTCCCACAAACAGTGTAAAAGTGTTCCTATTTCTCAGCATCCTCTCCAGCATCTGTTGTCTCCAGATTTTTTAATGATTGCCATTCTAACTGGCATGAGATGGTATCTCAATGTAGTTTTGATTTGCATTTCTCTAATGACCAGTGATGATGAGCATTTTTTCATATGTTTGTTGGCCTCATGTATATCTTCTTTTGTAAAGTGTCTGTTCATATCCTTTGCCCACTTTTGAATGGGCTTGTTTGTTTTTTTCTTGTAGATCTGTTTGAGTTCTTTGTAAATTCTGGATATCAGCCCTTTGTCAGATGGATAAACTGCAAAAATTTTTTCCCATTCTGTTGGTTGCCGATTCACTCTAATGACTGTGGCTTTTGTCATGCAGAAGCTGTGGAGTTTGATTAGGTCCCATTTGTCTATTTTGGCTTTTGTTGCCAATGCTTTTGGTGTTTTGGTCATGAAGTCCTTGCCTATGCCTATGTCCTGAATGGTTTTGCCTAGATTTTCTTCTAGGGTTTTTATGGTGTTAGGTCTTATGTTTAAGTCTTTAAACCATCTGGAGTTAATTTTAGTGTAGGGTGTCAGGAAGAGGTCCAGTTTCTGCTTTCTGTACATGGCTAGCCAGTTTTCCCAACACCTTTTATTAAACAGGGAAGTCTTTCCCCATTGCTTCTTTTTGTCAGGTTTGTCAAAGATCAGATGGTTGTAGATGTGTGGTGTTGCCTCCACGGCCTCTGTTCTGTTCCATTGGTCTGTAACTCTGTTTTGGTACCAGTACCATGCTGTTTTGATTACTGTAGTCTTGTAGTATAGTTTGAAGTCTGGTAGTGTGATGCCTCTCTCTTTGTTCTTTTTGCTTAGAATTGGCTTGGCTTTGCAGACTCTGTTTTGGTTCCATATGAAGTTTAAGGTGTTTTTTTCCAGTTCTGTAAAGAAAGTCATTGGTAGCTTGATGGGGATAGCATTGAATCTGTAAATTACTTTGGGCAGTATGACCATTTTCATGATATTGATTCTTCCTAACCGTGAACATGGAATGTTTCTCCATCTGTTTTGTCCTCTCTTATTTCATTGAGCAGTGGTTTGTAGTTCTCCTTGAAGAGGTCCTTTAAGTTCCTTGTTAGTTGTATTCCTAGGTATTTTATTCTCTTTGTAGCAACTGTGAATGGCAGTTCTTTCTTGATTTGGCTCTCTTTAAGTCTGTTATTGGTGTATAGGAATGCTTGTGATTTTTGCACATTGATTTTGTATTGTGAGACTGCTGAAGTTGCTTATCAGTTTCAGTAGATTTTGGACTGAGAGGATGGGGTCTTCTAGATATACAATCATGTCATCCGCAAATAGAGACAATTTGGCTCCCTCCTTTCCTATTTGAATACCCTTTATTTCCTTTTCTTGCCTGATTGCTCTGGCTAGAACTTTCAGTACTATATTGAATAGGAGTGGAGAGAGAGGGCATCCTTGTCTAGTGCCAGATTTCAAAGGGGATGCTTCTAGTTTTTGCCCATTCAGTATGATATTGGCTGTTGGTGTGTCATAAATAGCTTTTATTGTTTTGAGATACGTCTGTCAATACCTAGTTCTCCCTCACTTCCCTACTGTCTTTTCACTCTTCCTAATCCCCAAAGTCTGTTATTCCACACTCTGGGCTCATGTGTACACATTGTTTAGCTCCCACTTATAGCAAGAACATGTGGTATTTGAGTTTCTATTTCTGAGTTATTTCACTTAACATAACTTGACAGCCATATTGAGAATTTATAACATTTCCAGGGTAGTTGCTGTTTTCCTAAGTGTCAGCTCTCTTCATACTGGTGAATTGAAATACCACCATCTTAACTTTCAACTAGTTAAAAAGCCCACAAAATCATTATTTCTATATAGAATGGAGTTGATTATTTGTATTTCTTGGCTTTTTTTTAACCTCAAAATTCTCTCCGATTTGGTGTTTTGGGATTTGAGGTGGAAGTCTCAGCTCCAACACAGCTTACAAATGTCTTCAATGAGACTGAATGACAATATTAAGATAGTTCTATAATAAAGTTTATAGAGACCCTCCAATAATAAAATGCCAGCAACATAGAATTTCCCTAAATCTGAATGTTGAAGTCCCACATCAAATTCTTATGGCTTTGTGAGTCAAAAGTCCAAAATCTGATTTTGAAAAATCATTCCTGTAAAGGTCTTATTCTTTCCAGCCTACCACAGAAGTTGCTGATATCTGGGGAGATGCAATTTCTTATGCATCTCCATCCTATTGATGCGCCTTCTTGGAGTTGGTATGGTTCCTTCAGGACCTCAGAAGTTGTATTGGTTTAATGAATGCTAAATGTGCCAGGAGCTTGACCTTTTAAGGGTTCAAAGAGTTTGTGAGACACATATGGTTAGCCCAGCACCAATTATACCCATGAAATTAAGAAGCTTGTCCTTGGTCCCTAAAGCAGTTGTCTTAGGTGTTAGTATGATCTTAGGACCCAGTACTTAATCTTACACAAGACTACAGGAGCAGTTCAACAGTGCAGTTAGAAGGAGTTCCCACATCAGGATGTGTCCGTCTTTTCCAGTTGTCTTCTAGTTGCCGGTTGTCTGACCTGTGAACAGAAACTCAACTGAGAATACTCTTCATTCTTCCAACTGGCTGTTTGCCTGAAGCTGATAATGTGTGATGATAGCAACTCAGATAAAGCTCCCAATAAATCTTCATTATCCTCATATCGTTTGTTAATGTCTTCGTATATGCCAAAAGCTTCTCTGAGTGCCTTACATATACAAAGCTGTATAATAACTATCATTACCCTAATACATACCACCTTTCTTCTCAAACAATTTTAATGAATTTGAGAAATAAAACCAAAGGTAAGATTAAGCCCAAAATATCACCTTTATTACAAAAAAGCCCAAAATATTACATTTATTTTAAAAATCACCTTTATTGCACCTTTATCCCCCCAAGATGAGAAAGAAAGAGATTAGTTTAGAGGAATGTACCTTAGTATAAGAGTCGAGTAGACCTCCTACCTGAATTCTAGAATTGGGCTGACACAGCAACCCAGTTCCAGTGGTGTGGGGTGGGGCAGACCTCTTTCCTTTGGGCAAGTCCCTGCAAATTAAAGCTTGCAGGATGTGTCAAGCACTCCTGTTCCTTATAGGAGGGGATTATGGAATGGAGCGGAGTCAAGCATGCCCTGCTTTCTGAAATTGACCAGCTATGCTGATGGCTTCCCTCTCTGAGGTGAAGTAAGTAAATGGAGTTATGCTAACTGAGCTCTCTTTATAAGACAAATGCATCAGGAATGGGCATCAAACATTCTCCATAGTGTGATAAATAAACATTTTGGAAGTTTTTCTTTTATAATGCTTTTGTTTTGAATTATGTAAGTATTGTGAGAAATCATTGTAGAGTCTTTTTGAGGGTCTTTTAGCAAGAGAGTGACGTGATGACTTGTTTGTCTGAGAAAGGTAATTTTGGCAGCTGTGGTGAAGATTTGAGAGAGAGTGGAGCTGGAACAGCAAGTTCAGAGTCTCTGAGAGACCACTTTTAAGGTATATTAGGCTAAGCTGTAATTTTCAGGAGGTTGGGTGTTTTTCATGTATTTTCAGCTTACAAAATTTTCACTTTATGTTGGGTTTATTGGGGCATAACCTCATTGTAAGTTGAGGAACATCTGTAATGAGAAATGGGCAGGTGCAGATAGGACAACATCTGGAATTTTTACTTGCTTCTCTTGTTCTCTCCTGTGCATGTATGGATAGTCAAAAGGAGTATTCAGGTACTGCCTTGTTAGTTAACCAATGAAACGAACTTATCTTGCAGAATTTAACGATCATTATAATTAGCTAGTTAAGGCTAATTGGAGGCCCTCCTTTAACAGGAGCTTCCTGTCATCTTTCTTGGTCTGCACCATCCAATCAATTGGCCTATTTGCTTGAAGGTGGTGACCGGGGATGATGGTAATAACTCTGATAACTCCTGACAAATCATCCTTAACATCACAATAGCCCTTAGTGAATACACAATGAGTAACAGAGACTTTTCTGAGAGGCTTACATAGACAAACTTGAGTAATAAATACTATTACCTCTGTTTTACACATGAGAAAATATAACAATAGTTAAGCAAATTATTAAAGATCACCAAATTAAAAAGTGAAGGAGCCAGGATTTTTAGATGTTGGGTCAGCTACAGAGACCATTCTCCTAACATCTATATTAATTCACAATCAGTATTAGAAATTATAATATTTTAAAATAAATTGGTAGTATAGTGGGGACACAAATTTGTTTACATTTCACTCAGATACTCAGAGGAATAGTTCATTTTTTGATTAATGACCTGCTGCCTTCTGTAGTGAGAAATATTTAGTTTGGTATACTTAGAAGGATGCAATAATTTAAATAGTATCTTTTCATATATTAACAGTTTGGATAAAACACTTATGATCTCAGAATCTCTTTCTTTCCCTGCTTGTTTCAAGGCATCTGAGGATATGGGTAAGGGATATAGCTTAATAAATCTCATGATGGACTTATTTCTGTTCTGGTGAGCAAACTTGCAACAGAATTTTGCTTTCACTCTAAAAAACTAAAATGATATGAATAAGTTACATAATTATAATTAAAAAAATATTAAGCCAAGGGCACAAAGAAACCTAAATAAACTGGATTTTAGAAAGTAGCAAACTCTTCCTAAGAGAGAATTCATCCATAGTGGCTCTTAATCCTGACTGAGACAGAGGGAGGAGGAGGAGGATCTGCCATACAGAAGATAAGAAAAAACAGACTAATTTTAACAAATTTTTAACAGCTGTGTGTGGGCTGGTGTGACAGATTAGAATCCATAAAAGCCCTAGATTCAGATGATACTGATCTACCACCCCCTCCAACCCCACTCTTCCTCATTGGTCTTCACTGAGTGCTGTGAGTAGGTCCTTAAAATTGGGGACAGGAAGAGTTGAAAACAATACAGTGAGTACTTCAGAATCTCAGGGAATCTGCAGAATGAGTATAAAGAAGGCAACACCTAGGTACATCATAGACCACCTGCTAGAAACCAAAGCTAAAATGCAGACTTTAAAAGCAGCTATGAGGGAGAAAATACTTTGCATACAGAGGAACAATTACTAGTGACTTCTTACCAGAAATAATATACACCAAAAGAAACATAAATTATGCCTTTTAAACACTGAAAAAACATGCTCTGTCAACCTAGAATATTATATTCAGTGAAGTAATATTCAAATATGAAACTTAAAGTATTCATAGGCAAAAGCTGAAAGAATTCGTCTCCATCCAGCACAATGCATCATAAGAAGTACACAAAATGATTTCAGATTGATGGGAAATATGGACAAGATGGAATCCCAGATATGCAGGAAGAAATGAAAAGCACCAGAAAAAGTAAATATCTGGGGAATATAAAGGAACTATATTTTAATAACTTCATTTTATGTACACATACAAATACATTTATTTTTAAAATGATTATGCAAAAAATAAGGTATTGTGTGGTTTATAACATATAGAAGTAAAACATAAAACAAGCTAGCACAAAGAGTGACAGAAGATAAATGGAATTATACTGTTGTAAGGTTACATTAAATAAAGTTATATAATATATAATTAATTTCCAGGTTGGCTACATAACTAAATTATTATCTAAATATTATTATTTGAAGTTAGACTATATAAATTAAACAGGCTGTAAAATCCAGAACTAATTCATACATGAAAGTGCTTAGAGGGCAAGTTACAGCAATTAAATATTTATGTTAGAAACTCTGTAAGACTAAAGTCTAAGACCCATGGTCTAAACTTCTACCTTAAGAAATTAAAAACAAAGGGCAAACTAAACCCAAGCTAAGTTCAAATGAATAAAAAATAAGAGCAAAAATCAATGAAATAGAAGAGAGACAATAGAGGAAACCTATATAGTCAAAGTTGAATGTTAAAGATTAGTAGCATTAATAAACTTCTGGAAAAATTAAGAAAGAAGAGGGAAAAATATAAATATATTAAAACTGAAAAGGATATTACTACAGATTGTCTTAATGTTAAAAAAAGAATATTTTGAGCAACTTTGTACCAATAAATTTGAGTGTCGATTAAAAAGGACAAATTCTTAAAAAACATGAATTACTAAAAACTGTCAAAAGAATAAATAGAAAAATCTTCAATATTCCTATATCATTAAAAACATTAAATGTTTAATCAATAACCATTCTACAAAGAAAACTCTGGGCTCAGATGGCTTTATTAATGAATTCTACAAATTGTGACTGAAGAAACATGCTAATGAGAAAATAAATAGAAGAAAACACTTCCCAACTCATTTTGTAAAACAACCATAATGTAGATAATAAAGTCTGTCAAAAATTATCTTTTTTGACAGTGCTCAGATATCTTGCATGAATATATGCAAACATTTTTAGCAAAATATTAGCTTTGAGTGCTTTTTTGAAAGCACTCAGCTTGCATGAATATACACAAACATCTTTAACAAAATATTAGCAAATTAAACCTAACAATGTTCTAAAAGGATAATAAATAATCAAATGGGTTGATTCCAAGAAAGCAAGGCTGATTTTACATTTAAAAAGAAATCAATGTTAAGTATCACATTAAAAGAATAAATGAGAAAAATAACACTTATTTCAACAGATGCAGCAAAAGCATTTGACAAAATTCAATGCTTCTGAGCATACTAGGAGTTGAAAAAATTTCCTCCAGCTGATAAAGGGCATCCGCAAGACAAAAGCACTAAAACCTAACATCACACTTAACTGGCAGAACACTAAATTCATTCTTGCTTCGAAGCACAAAGAATGTCAGCTTTTCCCATTTAACATTATATTGGGGGCAAGAAAAATAAAACACAAAAGGTGTAATGATTAGAAAAAATAAAATAAGGCCGGGTGTGGTGGCTCACGCCTGAAATCCCAGCACTTTGGGAGGCCAGGGCGGGCGGATCACTAGGTCAAGAAATCGAGAACATCCTGGCCAACATGGTGAAACCCCGTCTCTACTTAAATACAAAAATATGCCGGGCATGGTGGTACGGGCCTGTAGTCCCAGCTACTTGGGAGGCTGAGGCAGGAGAATTGCTTAAACCCAGGAGGCAGAGGTTGCAGTGAGCCGAGATTGTGCCACTGCACTCCAGCCTGGCACCTGGCGACAGAGCGAGACTCTGTCTCAAAAACAAAACAAAAAAAACCAAAACAAAACAAAAAAAGAAAAAATAAAATAGGGGACATAATTGCATACATAGCAAACACTACAGGATTAAATCCTCTAAAACTCTACTAGAACTAATAAGTGAATTTAGCATAGTGAACATGCTAAACTTTTGTATTCATGGGAAGCATGTGTACATAGTAAACACTATCAGTCAACAAAAATCCTGTTAGAACTAATAAGGGAATGTTAGCAGAGTCATAAAATACAAGGTTATTATGGAAAAAATCAACAATTTGAAAATGAAAATAATATAATTCATAATAGCGTCCAAAAGCATTAAATACCTATTAAATATCTAGGAATATATTTATGACAGGTGTGTAAGGCCTTCACACGGTACCTAAAAAACACTGCTGAG